TGTTTGTAGCTTAATTGTAAAACCTAAACATATGTAGCATTATTATTTCAAAATAAAACAATACATTTGATTTATAAAAGAGTAGGTTTAATAGCATTTAGGTCTAAACAAGCAGTCTATTCTAAAATAAAAAAAAATCTAATGGAAGTTTCCTTTAATTTATAAAGGACGGAAGCTTTTTCCATCAGAATGTAGATTTTGTAAATAGGATTAAATGGTAATTCGTTAAGTAAGTGAAAGAAATTTATGTTAATAAATGATGTGCAATCTGAATTTGAAATATATGAGAGAAAATAACAGAAGCCTCGTGTCAGCGTCACAGAGAAAGTGAAGGGTCATGTGAAAGATGCCATAGAAACGCAACATAATTGGTGAGTTTCTAAACATAACATAATATGTGCAATCACACTGAAATTTTAAGCAGTTTTTTAGCTATAGAATATCGGAAGCAAATTAGAAGATTCTACTCGTATCCAAATAATTATAACTTTTTCATTTTAATTTTAATTAAAAACATATTACTTTACAAACAGTAATTTCTTTTTTTTTTTTTTTTTTTTTTATCTTTCGTTGAAAGAAACTGTTATTAACACAAACCCTTTCTTTGAAGATAAATTATCCTTCCGCAAAATTAAATTTTTACAAAATATACTTAATATTTATATTCATAACAAAAATTTAATAACGCATGAATTAAAATATTCCACTTATTAAAAACTTTGCTTAATTAATTCATTTCAAGTGTCTAAATTTACGAAATAGCGCGCTGTTTCTCCTTATATGTTCTTCCTCCGACTTTTAATACCTTTACAGACACAAAAAAATAAAAATTGAAAGTTTAATATGAAAGAAGAGAATCATATAAGTAGGTTTCTAGAAAATGAAACAAATTTGATGTTCTTTATTCGTTTTTTGCATGAAGCTGAAATCCTAAAATTTATAGCTTTGATAATACAAATGATGTTTTCCACACCAGCAAATGTTTCTGTAGGATAGCATTCCTGAGCTTAATCCTGTTATAATTAATTTAATTACCATGTAGGGTTTATATTTATTTTAACTAACATTTATTTTAAGTTTAAACTATCTTTCCTGTCAAGCCTTACTTTCCCCTGGAATTGCCAATGCCAGAGTATGTAAATTTTAGTAGAACGCGCAAAGTATTCAAATTGTCAGCAGAATTAATTTGAGTTAAATAGAAGGGAAACAAGTTCGTAAGTGTGCTTTTTTGCTTCACGAGCGTGAAGGTGGCTAGGTAGAAATTGAAGAACCGCGCGTTTCGGCCTGTGTGCTTACCTCGGCAGATAGTTGAATCTTTCAACTTAATATTCAGAAGTTTGCTGAAATATCAGCGGTATCTTAGAACGCGGTTAGGTTAGTTACGTTTAGAGAGCCTCGTACGTAGTAACTTGTTATTATTCATTTTTAGTTTCTTATTTTTATTTTACCGCCGGGTCGGCGTAGTTTGTGAACGTCAAGTACACGCATCTGTAACTTCTAAAGTAGAATAAAAAGGGAGTTAAACCCTTCTTAAGAGTTTTGTGTACTTTCCAGTTCATAGCAGTCACTATTATTGTTGCGTGTAGGTTGGGGCCGCGCAACACCACAACCAATTAACTAATTATAAGAAGTGATTAACATAACTAGTGTAACTGACGTCATATTTAACCCAATGCATAAATTAAACTGATAATATTTAAGAAAAGGCCAAGGAAAAGGTAGAATTTAAATATTTCCTAATTATATAATACTGAATAATCTAAACAAATTAGACTAAGATTATGTTACTATTCTAATTTTCATTTTTTGTCTCACATAAAGGCATTATTATTTTAATTAGCATCATAGGAATTAAGTTATTGGTTATCTAACACTGACATCATTATATGATGGGTGATAAATATACAGCTTACAGTCACAAAGCATTGTGAACTATCCACTGATTCAGGAATGTACAGTTAGGGATCAAGTACAGCGAATACTAACATTTCTCATCGCATCAGTACTAAAATTTCGTTCAGCGGGAAACATGCAGCTATGAACTCCGTTAGGGGCAAAATATACTATTGCAAATTTGAGTACTTTTGCTTGTTCAGCTACAAAATCTGTACAGTTTGAATATATCTATTTGAACTTCTCGGATTCCTACAATTTCAAGTGTAAAACTGTTGAATTCTCGTAAACATTCCAGTGAAAGTTCAAATGTTTTATATTTGGTATATAATTATGTCATTATAGATACTGAATTTTTAATTAGTAGAAAGTGTGCGTAGAAAAAAGTCCCTATTTTTGGTTGCAAGAGATTTTGATGCAACTGATGAGACATTTATTTATGTTACTGCAAATAAAATGAGTATTCTGGCAGCAAAGAGGTATAAAAGGAACTCCGAATTACCCATAGTTTTGACAAACAGTCCTCCAGAATTGAAAATACTATATCAGATAAATACAGCGGCAAGCATTTGAGGATAAAAGAATCGTCAAAATTCATTATACAGTTACTTTACTGAATTTTAAGAGAAATAAGCTTGATTTTAAAAAGCAAAACGTTGGTCAACATTGTTTTGCGTTAGCCGCTGTTACTCTCAAAACAAGGAAAATAAAACAAAGCTGAGATTTAAATAATTAATTAAAGCATTTGAGAGCTCTTTACCTTGGCAAGAGTTCTTACTTCGATAATTTCGCATTACGTTATACATGGGAGAAACACATAATATAATCATATATATCTATACATCTATATATCTATATCTATATCTATATATATATATATATCTATATATACATATATATATAGATACATATACTGGAGAAAGTTACTAGTGTTCTGTGCTCTACCTGTCTACATACTAATACCAGTTTCTACTAGTGAGCTGACAAAGATAGATTAATAAATATAATCATATTATTAGATTAATTAATATATATATTAATATACATTAATATATACTTATATATTAAATATAAATCTATATTAATATATATATATATATATACATATATCAAACATATTACACACACTATCAAAATTTTTATTTTAAAACAAATTATCCCAATATCATATCAACTGCTGCTGAAAATTAATCAATTATAGAAAAAAAGAAAGAAATTTGGAACAAAATCCATAAAGACATGAAAGAAATTCAAAACCAATAAATCTAAAATTCCCCTTATATATGTGAAAAATCAACCAACAGTCAACAAACCATTCGAAATACTGAGAAAGGATATGCAAAAATAACCAAATATAATAAAAAGTAAAAACATAGTATAGCCAGAGGAATGCAGTTAACATCTGATTCAACGTTATCATCAGGAGGTAGATCAGATCCAAAATTAGCTGATGAAGAATTCTAAATTACAGTATTTAATTTCAACATTTCGCCCGATAATATTCACCGAAAATATATATTATAATTATATAAATTTAAACAAATTTAAATTCTTAACAAATACGTATAAAAGTAAAAAAATAAAAAAGCAAATTTAAATTCTAAAAAAAGGAAAAAGCCAAAAATAATTTTAAAATAATTTAAAAATATGCAAACATGTAAAAGATTTAATTTTCGAACTAATCTACAATATCATTTAAATTCAGAAGCATAAGCAAATCAAGTGCAAAATCTATCCATTTAATTTCCTTCAAGCAAAACATACATCTCTTGATTAGCTCAGTTACTTAACTCCCTAAATAATTGACATTACTACCTTAGGATTTTTAATTTAATTTAATTTAATTAATATTAATATTTACAAAAAATTTTTGACTATAACAAAGATAGCAGCTTGACACTCTACCTACATAAGAGCCATCTATATAATTTGAAGAACACACTTACTTCACTTTCACAACACTTTTGCAGACCCCAACACTTATATAGTAGGTAAGTTAGAATTAAAACTTACTATTTACTTGCTTTAAGTATTTTTTTAAATGTTTTATGTAGTATCTAAGTATTTTCTATAATATGAAATTATATTTTTAAATATATATTTATTTTAAAAATTGTGAATTAGTTCTTTTTGTTCTTTTTGTTTCTTATTTCTTATTGATTTATATGGATTTTGTATAGTTCTTTTATAGTTTTTTTTATTGATATGCATATTCGTGTAGGGGAAGTTTCTGTAGACAAGGATTTCTAAAATACATTGGTTTCTAGATTTTTTTATATTTTATAAAAAATTAATTAAAAAAAATTTAATTTAATTTTTTAAGAAAAAGTTTAATTCTTGACTTTACTTGCTTGTTTCTCAAAAGACTTAATTAGTATTTTCCTTTTTGAACTTTAATTCTTAAATGTTAATACTTAATGTAAATTTCTAAGGATACCACTTTATTGGAATTACTTTTGGTTTTGACTTTTACCCTTGTCTGCATGAATGACGAAACACGAATTGAATGATTGGAGAGTTAGGTTTGGAAGCAACTTCCCCTTGATAAGTCTGTCTCCTGCCTACTCTACGATCATTCACATATGCATTTAAAAAAATTGTTTAATTTAATTTTAATTTATTAAATTAGTAGATTTATTTTCATGGATAGATTTTGCACTTGATTTGCTTATGCTTCTGAATTTAAATGATATTGTAGATTAATTCGAGAATTAAATCTTTTGCATGTTTGCATATTTTTAAAATTTTTTGGCTTTTCCCTTTTTTTAGAATTTAAATTTGCTTTTTTATTTTTTTACTTTTATACGTATTTGTTAAGAATTTAAATTTGTTTAAATTTAAATTTCATTCCTTGCAGCAATGGCGCAAAGAATCTTTAATTAAATATGTATTTAAATTTAATTTTTTTAATTAAACTCAATTTATTCTTATGTTTATAGATATATATGTTGTTAAAACTAAACACTAAACGAAAAGGTATATTTATGCTAGATAATCAGATATAAAATATATTTGCAGAAGTTGATACATCATCATCATCATCATCATCATCATCATCATAATAATAATAATAATAATAATAATAATAATAATAATAATAATGATTTTTAGAACTTACATACTGCGTCGACAGCCGGGGACAACAGCAAAGTTAGAGCAATTAATACCACACTGAGTACAAGGATTATGACAGAAACAACCATTACTGTAAAAACTACTCTTCTCCTTCTTGCCTCTTTTTGTGTCAGTCCAGGTATATCTTTGAGTCCCATTTCAACTGCAACTATTTCAGATATAGACACGTTACTAGACAGAGTTTTAGTTGAACTGCATCTAGAAGAATGAGTGTCACTCATACTATGTGGCCGAAGTCTGGGCCTCGGAGGAGCCAAATGTTTACCAACAACAATTAAACTGGATCGATCACTGATACTCCGTCTAATATGAGGCCTATAACTGGACTTGTTGGTTTCGACATCAGAAACAGACCGCCGGATTCTCTTAGAACGTGGTTTATGGTTAGTCTTAGGAGCTTTTTTTGTAGAGGTAGTGACATTTCGAGCTTCACTGTCACTATGATGGCGACAGACACGTCGTCTGGATGACGGTTTCCTTGCAATTCTTAAACTACTGTGAGTTCTGTCATCTCTATGTATTTTTATTGACTTCGAATCACTTGGTAGCCCTTCTTCATCAATATATTGAATATCTGGAGATAAAACCACATTAGGAACCTGCTGTACAGTTGGGAATTCTTGATTGTTCAATGATCTACAAGCATTCATATTGTCTTTCGAAATTCTGTATTCTTCCATTGACAGCAAAAAAACTGAGTTATGAATTTTCGATAAATTTTTTGTGGCTATGTCCTACTTTAAACTCTTTAAATGTTGATGCAAATGATTAGAAAACAAAATCCATTTAATTAGGTACCTCTCTTTCCACCTTTATGATCTTTATGACCTTTCTGTCTTTCTATATAATTTTAATAACATGAAATATAAAAGGCATTCATATCGTTCTAAAAAAGTCAACTTTTATCAAATTTTGATAATATATTTGATACTAATCATTTTGAAAATATCTTTTGCAGAGTTAAAATACATTCAATATTTAAATACAGGTTATTATTTAATTAGAAAATTTACATTTAAAGCATAAATTTTTAAAATTTAAAACTTATAATTAAAAGAGAATGATCCAGTGAGAAAGGTTGTATGTAATAAAAGGTAATTAACTGACGTAAGGGATATAAAATACATTGGCAATAATTTACAATTCAAGATTTTTCAAAGAAATTTTCTTTTAAAGTAATTTTAATAAAGTGCTCATATTGAATGTATTCTAAATTTAAACTTGGTGCCAATAGATTTTATAAATATTTTTTCTTAATATGTAATGCCTTTTTAAAAAATAAGACGGAATTTTTATCACAAAATATAACAAAAAGAATTTGAAGAATTGAAAAATTAATTGCAAGAATCCGATATATTCTTAGTTGCCAGTGATACTAAAAATGCACATTGCTAGCAAGAACAATTTTAACAGATTTAGTATTTGATCTTCTTCTTTCAAACAGTAAAACAGAGGAAGAATTTTCGCCACAACGATTCACTAACAAATATTGGGCTATTTTAAATATCAGATTATTTTGGATAAATCTCAGTTGGTATAAAATTAATACTTTTAATGCCACATTTAATCAGGATGAATAGCTAAGAAATAAAAAAAAAATGAAATAAAAATTAAAATTTTCCTCATACGCTTCAGAAATAAGATTTCATAAATGATGGAATAGAACTAGTTTAATAATCTGTACTATCTACAGATGCTTTTAAAATTTTCATAGTTTCAAACATATATAGAGGTTAAGTTATTTTTTATTCTCTAATATATTTACAAAAATATCCGATGAACGAAAGTATTTTTAATACTTTTGCAAACATACGTTTTCAACATACTTTTTCTGCAGCAGTACTTGTAATACTGAGATTTGATTTAACCGAAATAGCTATCTCAACTGTATAATGATATTCTTATTCACTCTGTGAAAGACATATTTTGAATAATACTTAGAATTTCCTGCCATTATACCAAACATGAAATACTTAAAGATGGTTAAAATCTCTAGCCATGTCAAATAATGAAGAATTAATTTCCAGGCAGAATAAAGCTTACAGCATTTTAAGTCAAAAAGACTTCGACGAAATACATTACACTATTAACATAAAATGTCCAAACATCTAGAAGGGCAATGTGATCACCGTGTTTCGAAAGCAATATAGAACACTTGAAAAGTGATGAATTAAACGTTGCATGCTGTATAATCCGAAGCGATACGGGAAGTTGTGAACACAGTCTTCGAATCCAACAAACTGATGTTAACAACTAGGATGCACCCAGAAAACATTAACCCGAGGTGTATGTATAGATATCCTTCCGATACCCCTTGTTCCCCCCTTCACTTTTCCGACTCCTAAAATTACCCGTGATGCTTCAGCAGATCCATCTCGAGGCTAAGTTTCGTTGAGGAGTAAGATGCTATTTTTTTACAAAAAAATAGTGAATAATAATAATAATAAAAAATATTACAGAAGAAAAGAAAGACTGACGTAATTTCTTGGCAGTGATGAAAAGTTATGGATAAAAAGTGCCGGTTCAGAGTATCGTCATAATCTTTTTACAAATATTTAATACTGCGTTTCTACTATTCCTCTGAAAGAGAATGTTTGTACTTAGATTATTTTTTTCTCAGTATTTCAATTGCTCTTCAAAACGTACATTTCGTTTTCAATCAGTTTAACAGCTAAAAAGCGAATATTCTAGGTTGATATACTTTTTTCTAAGTTTTTATTATTGAATTCTTTTTTAAGCAAGCAATTCAAAAACTGAAAGCGAGTGTATCTTATTTTATTACTCTTTTCTGATGATTTCAGTTGCTATTCAATTCATTACATGTATGATAAATTCAACAAATGATGGAATGTTTTTCTTGATATGGTCTTTTCTAATGATTTAAGCTGTTGTTTAAGTAATACAAATTTGTGTTTAAAGAATGAAAATGTGTATAATTAAGTTACAAACCTTTGTGACATAATTATACTAATCTGTATTCTTTGTTAACAGAATATTTAATCAGTTGTTTAAGGAATACAAATTTGTGTTTAAAGAATACAAATTTGTACAATTAAGTCACAAACCTTTGTGACATAATTATACAAATATGTATTCTTTGTAAACAGAATATCTAATGTGTTATTTAATCTGCTGTTTAAATAATACAAATTTGTGTTTAAAGAATACAGATTTGTATAATTAAGACACAAACCTTGTAACATAATTACACATATCTGTATTCTTTGTAAACAAGAGTAAAACACTCTTGTTTATTTTACTTTCTGACGATTCCAAATTTTGTTCAATTGAGGCTTTTGTGCATTCTGATCAAGAGCTTAAAATTATATCATTGACTATAATGATGTTTTCTGGTGATTCAAGAGACTCAGTATGATTTGTCTATTGACCTGATTGAAAGATTTTATTTTACAACAGTTACAAAAGTAGGAGATTACTAAGTTATTTTTATCAGTAGCATATTTCCACGTGGAATTCAGTTAGGTACATTTTTCAATATTTCCAAGAGGTGCTTACGCAAGTTGCCATTTTTGTTTTACTCGGAAAATAAATGTCACAAACTGTTTTAGTTTAACAATAATCTTTAAAAACGATTTTGATGGCTTTGGCGGTACATATAAATTAAGCAAAATATTATTTCAGACTTATTTAATGCAACGAATATGTAATACTTTCCAGCTTAGTTCAGCTTAATGAGAAAGCAAACTATAGAAAACATTTTCAGTGGTTGCGTTTATGGTCAGAAACAACAGTTACAGTGAAGTGATAAACAGAAGAGAACTTGGAAAACATATTGTTAGAAGTTTTGATCCTAGCTAGGTAATTTTAATGCAATATATGTGATTTTGTTGTATTTTTCTCTATAATATCATGTGAAAATCTTTCCGAAGCTTTCCGGATAAGTAAGAATACAGGGGCAAGTCTATTCAACATTGAGTAAATTGCTACCTTACTAGATTGGCGAGATACCGCCAAGCTGGCAGCGGTTTCAGCGACTAACTTTTCTCATTAGATTTGGCGAGAAATCGCCAAACGTCGCCACAACTGGCGACATTTTGTTCCGGCCATTGTGTCACCGTAATAGTTACTTTAATTACATAACGAGTTCCTCAGTTGTTGTTAATTGATAATTCAATGTGAGTGAGGAATACTGAGATACCTCCGGGTTGGCTTAAGTATTTAATGATCCATATTTTTCAGCTCTTAAGATGCGCTTTGCATTGCGAGTAGTTTGAAGTGTAAGTATGATACTGTACTCTGTGATACTGTGAAGAGCTGTACGACTATTTTTGTGGAAAGTTCCAGAACTATGAAGTACTGCTATTCATAAAATAAATTTTGCAAACCTACCAGCGGACATGTGTGCATTTAGTCTACTACGAACCCGTACGCACACAAAAATATCTTAATTTGTAGCCTCAGAAAATAGCAAATAAAACATTTAAAGCACTACCTTTTCTATCTAGAATTTCATCACAATGAAGTGATATTATCATCATTGTTTTAACAAATTATATAGATTATCATTTTTGTAATACTGAGCAATGATATGAATTAATTCCAATCTTTTCATTTCATACTGAATTTAAGTAGAACAATTGCAATCGAATTGAAACACATAAATAGTAGAAAATGCTAAGTAAATTAACCGATATTACAATTTGATATCTACTCGTAAATCAATCTCCAATTAAATTTTAAATTTAGAAGATTAATTGCAATGCATTAAGGTTATAGTTTTTTTAAAAAAAACATCTGCATGTTAAATATGAGAAATACTAAAAACAAAATGCTTAATCCATATTTTTCAGTTACCGATATGATGGAAAAGCATTACCAGTGTGTAGTCCCAGCAGCTGGTAACTTATTTGTGTTAAGCCACACACTGCTATGGGATAACAAGAAGTAGCTTTCAGTAGTTTCAAAAGATATCATTAGTTGATAAGACAATTATAATTTGCACTGAATCAGTGACAATACCAGTGATCATCAACTGCGAGTCAGGGCAATGAGAAAATGGCTACCATGCTGGAGGAATGTATGTGTATGGCTGTGTGCTACTAGCTCATTTCTAAAGGCGGTGAGCTAGTGGGAAGGCTACATGGCACTGCGACGCAATGTTGCGAGTTGCTACTTGTAGTATGTCAATATCTTGTATGATACCTACTACCTGTCACATCCTTGTAATACCAAACATATCAGCCCATTAGATTTTCAGGATCTAGCCTTACATTCGCTTTTCTTCTTTGAACTATTTTAGAATTACTAACGAATATATTAAATGCCATTTGCTTGGAAATGCTGCCAAATCAATAAATTCTTTAGCCCTTTAAAAATAGCGCAGATATGATACATTAATAGTAAATAATTTAAATAATAATTTAAATTTGTTATACGTAAAACCGAAAGTAAAACCAAAAGAGTTCTAAAACTGCGATTCTTTAAAGTTTTTCAATAATAGTGGTTTGGTAAAATAATGGCAATAGATATGAATTCAACATGATATCATTAAAGACAAACGAATGCATCAGCAATTTTAAGCAAAAGAATCTATACAATATTTTTTAAATGCAAAATAGAAAATGAGTTTTAGACATTTGAAATTCTTTCCAATTTAGTAACCTTCTAAAAAGCAAATAAATACCTAGTTTAAAAATAAAATTGACAGAAATGGTTCTACGTAGCTGTGATAATTAAAAAAAAACGGTGTTGGAACATAACCGTATCACAACAATATTGTCTAATTTATGCATTATATTCTTTCTAGATTTTTAAATCAAATATGTACCTTTCAATAAGAAAATACACAACACAAACAAATTCCTTCGAAGATAAAAGAAACGCTCTTTATACCGCTAACCGAACAATCGATATCATGTATTCCGAAAATCAATCTTCTATCGAATTTGTAGTCATCGATGCAGTTCCTTAACGAGGGAGAGTCCACCACTAAACAAGCTAGTGGGTGTGTAGGTGAGGGTTTTTCGAGTGGAAGATTGGAAATGCTATTTTTAGAAATGGTTCT